TTTTCAATTATTTACAGTGGCGATGCATAGACAATAAAAATGACCCCGGTAAGAATTTAGTTCTAACATTCAACATTGTTGACGTTAGCTCTCAGTTCATTTTGTATATGAGCTACCTCCAATTGAAAATTGTTATAGTATAATTATTTTAACTTGGAAATGAACAAATTCAATAATGGTGAATTATTCAATTCAGTTCAATCGTTCATAAGATATTTTAGTTTTTTAATTTGTTCATTTCCATACTCTCCAACAGGTTAAGTTTCAAACCTTTCTTCTGGAAATGGATGGAATTGTAGTCATAGTCAAACTCATGTCTCTCTGTGACATGAGTGGCATATGTGGAATTTATTTTTCCATTCTGGAAACTAAATTTCTGTTCCTTTATGTGGGCTTTGAACGTTCTTCCAGTTTGACCCATATGAAACATCGGACATGACCCACATGATAATTTATACGTTTTTATACGTGGTAAAAAACATAGAAATTTTCATTTCTCTCTTCATCATGATATCCTACCACATAGTAACGGCTACATACATCAATTTATTGATAATTTATACACTCCTGATTTTTCTGAAACTGAACTATCATCTTTATCATTCTTAATATGCATGCCTAAGTTGTTGTTGATTTTGAAAGCAATATTTACACCTTTGCTGTGCAGAAAATCTGAAATATTTATAGTGGGTTGGCCTGAATAGGTTCTACAAGGTTCTTCTCTTCGAATTGGATAAACTTTGAAAGCTTGACTGTATAACTTTTTTGATAATAAAGAACGTATTAGACTGCTATCATAATCATTGTTGTTTCATTATATTCAGTTCTTTATTGAAATTCGCCTCTGACAAGGGCACATTTATCAGTCTGTAGATCATACTGTTGAAAGCTACTACTTTGTGCTGATACGGGTGGGTGGACGAATTATGAATAATATCTGTATGTGTCAGTTTAAGATAAATTGAGAAATCATGTTTGTAGTTAACTTTTGTTATTGTCAAGTCCAAAAATGTATAGAGTCGTCCTTTTATATCTCCATTGTGAATGTGGTAGAAGAGTGGAGAGAATTGATGAAATTTAAAAAGTTAGTCAACTGTTTGTTCGTTTTTGTGAAACACACCAGGATATCCACATATATATACCAATACACTATTAAGTGAAAATCATACAATCAACTGTATTAATTAGTTTTAATATGCATTTTCAGTTCTATTCATTATACTTTCAAACCTTTATTTCTCCAAATGTTACTTCAATTTATTCAAACTCTTTCATAATTAAGATACATTGAATTTCTTAGTTTGATTCAGCATAGAAACTCAAAGGATAAAGGTTCTCCCAAAATTCATTGCGCTCCTCGAATAATCTTTCCTTCATGACGAGCCTGTTACCAATATCCATGTACTTTTGAGTTTGCAGTGTAAAACGATCCCATTTCACGTTATCGAGTTTCGCACTCCGGTGTGGTATTGGATTTCTACAACAAAAAAGGAATTGTTTCAGTATTCAAATACTCTCATAATGTTCATGTACTTGAGATTTATGATCAAACGATGTAGTGTTTAGTATAGTACTTACCCAGTTCTAGCAAAGTTTGCAAACATTGTTGTCAGCTTCTCAACCATATCAATTTCAGGCCTTGGAGAATCTTTTCCAAATAGAGGAAAATTTCTTGAATCATAGAATAAATAACTCAAGTCATCTCCGTGAGAAACCCCTGAAAAGGTAGCATGAAAATTTAATGGACTAGTGCTGAAACAAATTGGATTTTTAACAGGATTGGTTTGAATTATTTGAACTAGCTATTCGTGCTAGCCCCTATAAATTTCCGTCTCTCGTGGTATTACTGTGAAATTGGTTCAAATGGCATCATAATTTGGATCGATTTGATCAGATGTTCACAAAAAAATATTCCATTTGCGCTCATGGTTTTTGTGGAACTCAAATCACCACCATTTCAATCACCAATATTCTATATTAGTACCAGAAGAAACAAATAAGTATCGGAGCGAGCCTGAATCGATTTACACACATTACATTTCATTACATAACGGAGATTGGACCTAGATCCAGGTGCAGGAATCTTTTCATTGAAACCCAGGATCATGTTCAATTCGCCTCAGTTGTACCAAATCGAAAGACTCATCAGGAATTCATCCATAAATCTGTTGAGATTTTTCCAGTGATTATTTCATATGAATCACTTTCTTGTAATTTTGTTGCTGATGAATTTGTCAGATACGGATTTCATACACAACCCTCCTAATCTGTTATGAGGGTACCACAATTTTTGGTATGGTACCAAATCGGAAAACACACATGAACTACAACAATGCATGGAGAGGTTCAGAATAATTACAGAGCTTATTGGACATTGAGAGAACAACTGAATAAAAAAAGGGCTATATAACGAGGACCTCAGCTATAGTTGAGAATGAGACAGAGATGGTTCGCTATGTTTCATGTGAATGTGACGCACTGGTGGCTATGTAAAACCCAAATTATATTGAGAAGAATATGATGAACATCTCATGAAAGATGTATACAAACTAGTATATTCGAAATGTATTGTCACAGAAACAGTGGGTGGAAAACGCAATGAGCCTAGGAAGCTGCAGTATTCTCCAGAGACTTGAAAGATCTGGAGTCAGATGTCTTCCAACCAGCACCAAAAACACAAAAGCAGAAACAACATTACATGATGATGTCTGATGCTTGAGTGTTTTTATATAAAAATTTTAAAAAATCAAGCTGTCGATGCGTTGGCAGATTCGTTCTGATCAATATTCGAGCAGTTCAAATTATTATTAGGAATTCTTATTGATTTGTATAATGAAGTTGTTCTTATTCATACTCGTAACTAACAAACTGCCTGCCAATCCCAATCTTTAGCTACCGCCTTCTGGGCGGTAGCTAAAGCTGTTATTCAGAACTTTACAAAATCTACAATTCTATCACTAACACAAGCGAATGGTTCAATCGCAACACCAGCCATAAAAACAGCAAATCTACTAGCTGAATGATTGCGCCCCACTCCACAGTCGATTTTCTGGGAAAAGCACCACCCACTATTTCCAAACTAGAATACAGAATGCCAAAAATTACTTTTCGACAGCTTCTAGTCAGGCGAATTTTGAAACAGCTCAATATCAATAAGGCGTCTAGCCCTGATGGAGTGCCCGTCATCGTACTTAAAAATTGCGCAATCGAACCCACACCAGAATTTTGCACACTTTCCAACCTGTCTTACATGAAAGGGATTTTCCTTCTTGTTAGAAGATTGCTCTCGTTCAGCCTATTCCCAAAAAGGGTAAAAAAATCTTCCAAATAACTATAGACCAGTCGCATTAGTGATATCAAAAATCATAGAGAAAGTCGTTAACCACCATATCCTTGAATATTTGAAAAGCTCCAACATCTTGAGCGATCATCAATATGGCTTTCGGAAACAAAGATCAACAGGCGACCTTCTATGTATGTTACCCATATTTGGATAACATACCACGATAGAACAAAAAAATCATAAAACATGGAGAATCAAAAACTGTTGCGCTTGATATTTCTAAGGCCTTTGACTGTGTGTGGCATGAAGGTTTGCTGGCTAAACTTCGATGCTATGGCTTGTTGGATCATTTTTGTGTGTGGCTCTTTAGTTTCCTGAAAGAACGTTTCCTGCAAGTGGCCGTCGATATCTCTCGAATACTTTCACCATCAACGCTGGTGTTCTCCAGGGATCCATATTGTCTCCAACCCTCTTTTTATTGTATATCAACGACTTATTGGATAAAACCAAGAATCCTACATATTGCTTTGCTGACGACAGCACACTTGTCTCGTCATTCCATTTGGATTCCAGGACATCGGCTACGGAGGCACATCTTCACCGGCAGCAGGAAGTTGCATATCTCAATAAGGATCTAGAAGTGAATTCGAATTGGGGTGAAAGTAGCCAGGTTCAATTCAATGTCAAAAAAACCCAGGCATCGGTTTTCTCCAACCGGTTATTATAATGTCAGGTCAGACAATTCCGCTTTCTGCTTCGACAAGTTTGTTGGTGGTTGAAATGGACACCAATTTGTTGGTGGTTAAAATGGACACCAATATGTCTTGGAGTATTGTTCTCATTTATGGAGCTCTGCCCCCAAATATACCCTAAAGTTGCTGGATTCCATCCAGAAAAGAGCCATCCGCCTGATTGGAGACGCGAACATCACGTGCAACATTGATAGCCTGAAACATCGAAGAAAAATTGGAGATTTGTCTCTCTTCTATAGATACTTTCACGGGAAGTGTTCAGGTGACACATTCGATTCCAGCAAGAGCGGTACATATCAGAAATATGCGACGAACTGTGGCTTCTCATCGTTTTGAGGTTTAGCTCAGTGAACCCCGAACTTTACTGTTCAAGAACTCTTCCATTTGGAGAACCGCGTTTATGTGGAATAAATTTCTTGAGAACGTTTTTCCTAATGGATATAATCTTCAGCGATTCAAATGCAATTTGAATCGCTACTTTCGCACAAGCACCGCTCTGAGAGCGCCATAAGGATTTTCCTGTAATGCTTGTGTTTTGGCCTTGAAAAACTTCCTTATTTTCTACTTCATAACAATGTATCATATCAACTAGAAAAATGTATTACGTATGGAGCTTCATATTAGGCGAGAACGTGCCTTTTTCACGCAGAAAGACAAAGAAGTGTCACTAAACTATTTTTCTCTTCTACATCTTCGAGAGTATGAATCATAGAAGGGTTTCTATCAACCAATTTTACTCAAACTAAGGTTAATGCACGTGTGAACACTGTTTCTATACTAACGCTCATGCTCATCTTCAGTTTCTGTTCACATTTACCTTTACATTTATTTATGTTTTTTCGGTTTTAGACTCAGAAATGAAAGTTAGATGAATAATATTGATATTTTCACTTTTTCATATCTGTCAGTTATATTCGTTCCGCCTTCTGGGAATTGTTACTAGCACTTCATAAATTG